TTTAATTACCAAAAATTCTAAGTATCAGCAACATTCCCCCCTTCGAAAGTGTTGAAATTGCTATTTCAATACTTTCACCGCTTTTACCTTTATTGTTTGATACTCACTTACCATCATGTTCAAAGCTAAGATTCGTTTCAGCATATCTTGGTGATCAACCGTGGTCTGGTGGAATAGTAGGTAACTCTCTCATGATTCTGCGACTGATTGCAATTCTGTTAGCAAACTGTTTCTTCAAACAAGTATATAACAGCATGATCATCAGGAAGACAATTAGCAACAGAAACAGAGTTTTAATCAAAGATTGGATCCAAGAGCTTAGATTCCAGGCTAGTCTTTTGAAAATTTTCCCTATCCAATCTTCTGACATGTCCTCTTGGATTGATTCTGTTTCTTTCTCGACTTTTTCTAGCAAATCCAAATCATGCTCCACATCCTGTGTAACGTTTGGGATGTGTATACAACAGTGGTCTAATTCATCTTTGAGATAGCCACATACTCCGTGTTCTTTGAGTAAAAGCGTGTCTAAAGCCATTCTATTTTAAAGTGCCATTCTAGATGTTGCCTGCAATTGAACGTTCAATTCTTTGAATCCTTTCTTTGTAACATTTGCTAACTTTTCTACTTGACTTGTTAAATGATACAGCCATTCTCTGTTTCTATATGAGGCCATAGGATTTAGAAGAGACTCAAATGTCCAGCTGATTTTTAGTCCTGTTGATGGTTCGTTCCAAATGTCATCTGTTTCGGACCTTTTAGCTTTTCTAGGGGTCCTTTAAATGGTGATTTTTTCCAAATTAGACACAATGTTGGCATGCCTAAGGTAATTTGTTTAACTTTACCATCTAATGGTAAGTGAGTTGTCCAGGTCCCATCATTTAATGCCCAAACCAAGTGTCCAGGACTTTGGATCGTACTATTTTTACAACTTAGGAATGTTCCCTTTTTAATCTGATAATCTGCAGTCAATTGAAGATCATTTTTGAGTCCTCGACAGAAACACCCATACCTCACTGCAGCTGCTAAAGGGGGAATTTCTTGTATTGCTTTACTTACCATACTACAATTGTAAACTTTGTCACATTTCCACCAAGATACTGAACTCCCTTTTTCTAGTGATGTAGTTTCTCTATCTGTCACTGTTGGCCAAACTGAATAAACTGACCCTACCCACGTAAAACACCAAGGGGTTTTTGCCATGTATTGAAATTGGGCGAATAGAGGCATGGACCAAATTGATTCCCAAGTAGGTTGTTCTTTTTGTGAAGTTTGAACACTTTCTTTGCGTTTCCATTCCATTACCATACGGCTCACATTTTTCTTTATTGGTTCATCATAAGAACACCATCCAGAACCGTATCCTGAATCTAGTCCTGTCCAACCACCACTAGTGTCTACAAAGTTTGAATTCAATAGTTTTGTACACTCAGCTCTACTTCCTGGGAACTTCCATTGTTTTCTAATATATCTCACTTGTTCATACCATTGAGTCACTGGCTTTTGTTCACAGTGAGTGGTCTCATTTTTATGTTCCGGATCAGTCAAATTCATGGTTAAGATTCCCCATGGAATAGATTCACCTGCTGCCCTTGGTATTGGCAAGCAAGCAGTAATCTGTGTAACATTCTGTAAATTGGCAAATCCTTTAATTAATCCTAATATCAAATTTTCCTCAGGTGTTTGTTTTGGAATTTCAATCACTTGTTCTGTTTCTACTTGTCTTTTGTTCCTACTCACCAAGTCAGCCCACGGTTTCACCAGTACTACCTTCCAGCATAAGATCCAAAGAACAATCAAAAACGGATATGAGAAATTAGACATGTTTCAAAGTCAGTTTCAAAATCTCTGGGTCATGACTGGGTCACGATTCACAATTTTCCAGGGTGCTGGTGCTTTCTTCACTCGAGTGTAATGTATCCAGGCTGTAGATTCTGCAGTCTTGACTGCTGTGAAGGTTGTCAACAATATTTGAAAATGTCCTTTCCAGCGCTCTTGCAGAGGTTCAGAAGTCCACGTCTTTACGTGGACATAATCTCCTGGTTGGAAATCATGCACTGGAGTGTCTAAAGATAAAGGTCGATTCCAAATCACAGTACTTCGAATTGCAGCCAAGGTTTTCCCTAGAGAAAGCAAATAGTTATATACATCTTGTTTTCCTTTTACATGCATATCTGGATTTGGTTCCGGGGACTCATAAGGTTTTCCGTACAACAATTCATAAGGACTGATAGAGGTTCCACTCTTTGGCTGTACTCTGACTCGAAGTAATGCCAAAGGTAATGCTTGGGGCCATTTTGAATTTGTTTCTTGACAAATTTTACTTTTTTGTCTCTTCAGAGTCTGATTCGTGCTTTTTACTTTTCCACTGGATTTTGGCCTCCAAGATGCATGTAAATCCCAGGCAATGCCCAATACTTTGCTAACGCTTTGGACTACTTCAGCAACAAAATGTGGACCTCTGTCAGATGAAATTCCAATTGGAACTCCAAATCTTGAAATTATTTCTTGTAGTTACCATTTTACTACTTCTTTTGCTTGTGTGCTGCGACAGGGAAGGGCTTCAGGCCATCCTGTAAAGGTATCCACCCCCACAGGATGTACCGGTACCCGTTTTGTCTAGGTAATTCTGAGAAATCTATTTGCCAATAATCTCCAGGCTCTGTACCAGATTTTAATTTATCCATTTGGACTCTTTTCTTGATCACTGGATTATTTTTTAAGCATGTTTCACATTTAGCAGTTATCATTTTGGCTAAGCCTAGCATTTTAACTGATACTACTTGTTTCTGTAAAGAAGTTACTAAAGCTTCTACTCCCCAGTGAC